CTCTCTTTTTCTCTCTCTTTTTCTCTCTCTCTTTTTTTTGCCTCTTTTCTTTTCCTCTTAGAAGCCAGTTTTATTGCTGTTGTGTGAACGAGACAATAAATCACAGTATGTCTCGAAAGGTAGAAGCGGTCAATCACAAATTACAAGTTGATGGAACCAATCATACGCGTACGTAGTCATGCATAAATTGAGATAGCATTGGGGTAAACAAAATTACAATTCTTGAGTTCAGACACATACGAGTAGCTGTGTTTGACGCCAACCAAAATGTCCACGGATTTCCTACGTCCTGCAACATGGTAACAAGGTGGCTAATGTGTAGCAGCTTCAGTCTCAGGAACAGCTTGAGGCTGGATGCTGGAAGCTGGCTGAGTAATAGTTACGGACGGAGCGGTCGTGGCCGACTCTGCATTGATCGTAGGCTCAATGTCCGTTGTAGGCTGAGTAGTGGCCATCGGTTGGCTTTGCTTTTGTGGTTGACCAAGCTCCACATTTGCTGCAGATGACTCGTCTCGAACTGAAGCCATAATAAAGAAGACGAGATTGACAATGACGAGTACCCAAACAACAGCACCGATCGCAGCATTGCCAGCCATTGCTCCACCAAACTTGGAGGCGAGGCTATTTCCGCGATAGTAACCAAGAATGGCCGCTGCCCACGAGGCAGCCCAAGCCCAGCCTGCAAGCCAGAAGATTGCAGAGAGTACATAGGCGATGAGTAAGCCGATGCGAAAGTACAACTGAGATGCTTTGAGTACGAAGAAGATGGTAGCTCCATAGATGATCCAGGATTTGATAGCCTACGGAGAGTTTGTCAGTGGTAGTGGAAATGATGGGCGGAGTTAAGACCACGACTGACCAGGAATATCATGTAGCCGGGAGCGCCACCGGGGGAATATCCATAACCGCTGAAGAGTGACAATGCATATGCAGACAAGGCTAGTATAATGACCGACAAGACAATAATTGCGCCTTGAACGTACAACAGCCAACGAGGCAGCGCTGGGGGAATACCCACAGCAATCAAGCCCTTTGCACCCATGGCCTCGCTCAGGAGACAAGGAATCCAAAGTATGGTGATAGCGAGAAAAGATGAAGGTGAGTACATTCGATTGAGAGGGGATCTTTGGATATTTAAAAACCCCAGTGACTCAAGGAATGTTGCCAAGGCCCATCAAATTTGGCAAGCCAAACAATCAGCGACGTAGCCCCAGACGCCGCTACATTCCTTAGCAACTCATATACAATTGGAGGAATCAACAAGGCTTGGAATTTAAATGGCAACAAATGCGCTATTCGTGGATATTCAGGAGTGTTGGGGACTACAGTATATTGCGTGCATTTCAGGGGTTCTTGATGATTTATTTATTGCTTATTCCAAGTTCTCGGGATGAATTGTGAAAAATATACAATATTGAGTTTGGTGTCACCTTTATTGTATGAGTCTCCACAAACGGTTTTTGGCAAAACAGAGGCAATCATGGAATTATCATTGGCGAGCATTTTCTGAGGTTTGATAGTAGAATCAGAACTCCAAAGACATAAAGAACAGAGATTATCCAGTCACACCAAAGGGCGACAATGTGAATCCAAATTTAAGAGTTTTGGGCTGCATAAATACTAAGTACATTGTAGGGACCTACTCAAAGTACAGCCAACCCATCAATGGATCACCACGCCCACAGCGGCAGGTACGTGGACTTGAGTGGCTCGTGATGTGTCCGCGCAAACTCGTGGATGCGGAAGGCGCGACGCCAAAGTTTTTGGGCCAACAACTCTTTGGTGTTTGTAGGCCTTAGATGGGTGCCTAACTCCTTTGCAAAATAATCGCCCCCTTCTCTGATCTCAACATCCAATTTCCCTTGATTATCTCCCCTCAAACAGCGACCTTTCTGTAACCCTTCTTCTGTGTATTTTGTTCGAAGCGCATGTACCATATGCCGGTATCAATCTTGCAGAGCTTGGTGTGTCCTGCTGCAGGCCTTTTGTTCGCGTTTAACCCCAATATATATCAGGTTCCCAATCTTTATATAGATCATCCCGCAGAGATTATGGCTTTGCGAGCCGGGACCACAGATCACAGCCAGGTGCCGACAGTAGATGAGTATGCTCGAGAAAATGGCCTCACAATTGATTCTGCTGTCAATGCACACGTCCTTTTGTCTACTTTCTCTGATTCAGCGGGCCTTCGGCAATCACTAGACGAAGAACAAGGTCTCACACCATTCCGAATTTCATCATTCAGTATTCCTTTGATCGAACGTCCAAGTATTCCCAGGCCAGCTGTGGATGTTCTGATTCGACTGCAATCCAGCGAGTGTGCCAGAAGCCTCCGATCCCGTGCTATAGCAGACTGGCCACAGGTTCCTCGAAGGCATCGACTAGAGTCACCCCTCTTGAAGACTGACCCCGAGATCGACGTCATTCGGCTGCAAGAATCTATCAAAACCACAAGATTGATTGATATGCAGGCAAATATTCCACCAGTTCCACCAACTGAACCACTGGACCCATATCAAGATGAGTCATTGCCTTTTCCAGACAGCGCTTATGCCCATCACGCGGATCTGTCACGACCAGCGAAGTTTGAGCGAATTTCAATTACAAAAGGTGTCATAGAGTGCATCACAAGTGTCACACAAGACAACTGGACGGACACCGACATGTCGACGCTTTTGGCTGAACAGATTCCACCAAGATCATCAAGGCCACGAAAGTTGACGCCGCCTCTCAGTCCAGCAGAATCAGATGGGGAATGCTTCATGCCAGATCCCGAAGCATGTCTGATCCCAATTGCATCGGATCCAAGTTCATTGTTGAGTGCAGATTTGGACGCAGCTGAAGCAGCTTTACCCCGCGACACCATATCATCGACTGAGGCGACAACTCCATTATCTTCATTGAGGGAGTCTCCAGTGGCCATGATGCGAAGAACGAGAGCGAAAGAATTGAGATTGGAAGAGCCTTTGATGCCTGTCGATGAGCCCGAGCCCTTGGCAACACGAGTTGAAGACCTGATACGAGGATATTGTGACATCTCCCAAGATCTACTGCAACCAGACTTGAGTTTTGACCATGATTTCGAGTTGGAGAGCATATTGAGCGACGGTCTCAAGGAAGTGCTCCAAGATGCTACTACACACTCGAGACGTATAATTGACCAGGAACAACTTGAGCCAGCGGATGCGACCGCAAGAATACCAGTTCCAATCATGGACTTCAGCATCCCTGAACCTGATTGGACCAACTGTGGCTACGACGCCAGCAAACACTTCCAATCGCTTTTGCAAAACCATCCCGGGAAAGCTTTACCAAGTTGGCCAGAGGACACTGCAGCTCGCCGCCTTCTGCAATGGCTGCCGTTCCCTTCAAAGCTCGGCCAAGTATCTATGGATGAAGAAATAGATGGCCCAAAAGTGACATCCTTATCAGACCTTCCAAATCTGAAGAATATACCTACCAGTTTCGACTTTGTGTGGAAGCAGCCCGGTATCTCCATTCTTAAGCACGACGAGGATGAAGATATGCTGGACTCATCGAGGAATGCAGTTGATTCCCACACGCATCAAGGGTCGACCCTGGGTCTTCCAGAACTAGCAGCCAAGAGAAAGCGAGAGGCCACGCATCACACAACGGCATCTACGCCGTCCTCCTCGCCAGTTGATTTGGTCATGGTACCAGAGCCAGAGCCCCAGCGAGCCTCGGTTTCGGACGATTCGGAGCATCTGCTGTTCGACGTTGATGAGCCAGCTGCCCCGTCGAATCTCCTGAATAATTTTGTGAATTTCCATAATTTCAAGAGACGCAAATTAGGTATCAGCACCTTCTTTACGAAAGCACCCTCCAAACAGATTTCGTCTGTTCCAGGCAACTCTAAAAAGACCCCTAAACCGATCCCGGCTCCCAGTGCAGCGCCTCAAGCCGCTGACGAGGTAACGATCAGGGTGGCACCTTTTCCGAGTCTAAAATCCGAGGGAGTGCCAGCAAACATCATAGCGTCCACAAAGCTCTCGAATCCGATTATTCGTTGGATTGAAAAGTTGTCACCGTGGGTAAAGATTACAGAGCGCGATTTCGACAAGTACAACAAGGTGGCTTGGAATCCCATGTCCGTAGCCAGATCTCCAGTCATCTCCAATCTGGCAGCCGAGGCGGACGTAATTGTGTCGCCGTCAACGGGCCTGATGGTTCTGTCTCTCATCAAAGCACTCCAACGGCCTATCCCTGGACAGAAATCTGTCTTGAGAGAGAGAATTGAATCAACATCACGGCGATACGAACGCCTCATAATTCTAGTGTCTCAGTCGAATCGTCAAGACGAATCTTTAAGAGTCATGACGGATTCGGAGTGCTTGGGGTATGCAGATTTCTGCGGGTTTGTTGCTGGATTAGAGTCAAGTACTCAGGTTTATTATGTAGGTGGCGGCGAGGAAACGCTCTCACGCTGGCTTGTGTACTTGATCACCACCTACTCGTATGAAGCGATGGAGGTGGACAAGCTGCTCATCGACACTGAAACGACCTGGGAACTCATATTACGGAGGGCCGGAATGAATGCATTTGCAGCACAAGTAGTCTTATCTGAGCTGAAGGAGCCATTAGGTGTTGCACAGAACGATGCGGCTCATCGAGGTCTCGCAGCTTTCATCAATACGTCGCCAGACGAGAGGTTTGCAAAGTTCGGCCGACTTCTTGGAGGTGGGAGAGTTCTTCAGCGTGTAGGGAGGGCGTTGGACTCGGCGTGGGTATAAATCTCATGTAATCTCATATCTGATGCTATAGGTTGTGGGTTATCTTGCTCGAGGTGGGATCAAGTAAGTCAAGTGGCTATGGTACCAGGTACTAAGTACTGATGGCACGATGGGAGCTAAAAGGTACATGTAGATCCTAGAAACTCTACATTATTGTGCAACCTGTTGGCAAATACTTTTGGACTGTTCCAAACGGTGCAATAAACCATGTCATGTCTCATTTCAGCTCTTTTCACCTCAAAGATGCGTGTTACTGTGTCGGTATTCTAGAATAGTTGGAGCATCAATGTTCCAGCCCGCATTTGAACGGGGCGTTCCCCCCCAGGTCCCTTGCATGTTGCTATAATCAGTGACACCCCCACACTTTGATTGAATAACCCCTGTCACTTGCGTCATGGTAGCGACCAAGTTTCTCTGAAACAACAAGAAAAGCCACATACACAATCAAGCAGCGGTGTCTTTACACTGCCTACACACTCACCTAACCTAGTAGTTTCCAAGAATTATGCGCGATACTACTATGGCGTTTTATTGCTGACCATGGCAGGGGTATCCTAAGCCTCCGATAAGCTTGGTCCTCGCGTAAATATACCCCCGAGCGGGCCAAGGTGTGATTTCTGATATCATTTCGCACGACACGAGATGATCTGAGTCCTGCAAAAAGTAACAGGACCCTGATTTTGAGAGTTTCTTGGGCCCTCGCTTGTGCCCCGAGCATTAACATCAGTTGTTTTGGGGTTCAGGACTGTGGGTCTTTGTTGTTTGTGGCAAGAGGAAATGAAGGACATGTCCCAATGCGGACTGCCGAACATTGCGTAGCCTCTCAGCTGGGACACTATATCGCGGCAGGAGGGTAAGTTTCGGACTTTTCTTCTGTCCTAGATTTTCTGCCATGTGGCAATGAGCGTATGGCAAGTCCTGCGGGATATGCACGAATGGTGCCATCGCTCTGCCGTGTGCTTCACCGGCGCACGATGACTTCAAAGAAGTTCTGGTGGGACCCCAAAATCAAGGTCTTGGTCATGAGCATGAAGTCATTCGGAGAGCAAATGAGCCTCACCGTAGTTCCCAATCGACTATATAGACCCTTTGACATTGAACCTCATTGCAAAAATCCTCCATACCAGCATCTCTTCACATCTTCAAACACACCAAGTATCATCTATACACAGATTTAGACGCAAGTCACCCCAAATCCCATCAAAATGAGCTCCTACGACAACAACGACTTTGGCTCCAGCGGCCGTGACGAATGTAAGTCACCATGAACCTTTTAGTACAATATGTGCCAGTCCACTAAACCCGTCTCCTAGTCCGCTCGGGCAACGACTCGTACGGCAACGAGTCCTCGGGCTTTGGCAGCTCGCGCAACGAGCGTGACAATGACAGCTACGGCAACTCATCGTCGGGCGACTCGTACGGCAGCTCCCGCCGCGACAATGAGAGTTCGGGGTACGGCGCCTCGTCGGACTCGTACGGGGGCAGCAACACCTCTTCTTCCCGCCGTGACGACAATGACAGCTACGGCAGCTCCCGACGGGACAATAACGATAGCTATGGCAGCTCTGGAGGAAACAGTGACAGCTATGGTAGCTCTGGCAGGAACAATGACAGCTACGGCACTTCCTCCAACTCGGACTCATATGGCAGCTCTCGACGGGACGACGAGAGCTCTGGCCTCGGCAGCAGCCGCCGCGACGATAATGAGTACGGCTCCTCTGGACGCAATGAGCGTTCCGAGGGCGGTGGCCTGAGCTCGTTCCTGGGCGGCGGATCCAAGGAGAGCCACGGCAGCGAGCGCAAGAACGAGGATTTCACCGACAAGGTCATTGACGGTGTCGCCGACTACGCCAAGAAGAAGTGGTAAATGGCTCCTCGAGGTGCACTGATGGAGCCCGGGAATAGGAATGCGAGCGTTGCTATTAAGCTTTAGACTTTTCGACATAATAATTCGATAAACTTTCTAATATGATGAAATTCAAAGATTTATTTATAATGGATCGCGTGATTTATATACGCTGTGACGCTCTTATTTACGTGATGATTGATTTGAAGCAAACAAGGTATCATGTTGACTTCCGCAACGCCAAATGCATCTCTGTGGGTTGGGTCTTCTTCCCGCGCACCCTGGACCACTCCCTGCTGTCGGACCTGATGTAAAGCGATTCACTTCTAGGCACGTACGAGTTGAACCTCGCCGCACCCTAGAAGAAAAGCAAATCCTCGTCTCTCCAGCCCATTGCTGTGAATGTCGAATGCACGCTCTTTTCCAATGCTTCTGGCCCGCAAACGAGCACCAGTTGCTCGCCCTGAGAACTTGTTGGCGACCCAGCCTCGGCCTCAAAGAGCTCCTTGCTCATCCGACCCTTTAACCCTGTCCAATCAGGTCCGGGTTTGGACAGACTGTAGAGCAAGCGGCATTTGTGCTCGTTCCCGAGTACCATGGCGTCTATCTCTTCCCGACAGAGTATGTCCTCTTCAATCCTATTGCCGTTCATAACCAGACACTGAGTCGAGTCTTCGGGGTCCTTCATGACGGCTCTCAAGACTTGAAAGATGGGCGTAATGCCCGAGCCGCCGCAGATCATGATGAAGCGCTTGATATTGCGTTGCTTCCCTGAGATTGTGCATACTCCTCGACCGAGATATTCGAACTTGCCAGTTGGTCCCTTGAAGTCTACAAAGTGCCCCACGGGAATGGCGTCGAGGGCCTGCGTCATCTTGCCACCCTTCCGCTCAGGTGTGTCATAGTACACCTTGATCAAAACGTGGAGCTTTCCAACCTCGCTGTTTTCTGATATCGGCGTGTAGGCTCTGATGATGGCTTCACGCGTTACTGGATCCCTCAGCCGCATTAGTAGGTGCTGACCGATGGGCAGTCCAACCGTCTGGGATGCATGTTCGAGGTCAAAAGTAAAGATCTTGGTGTCTGGTGACACTTTCTTCTTGGCAGACAAAATGGCACGAGTCCAGGTTTTGGACTGCAGGAAGATGTCACGTGGTGCAGCGTTTTCGTCAATGACGGTGTCGCCCTTGGCAAGAGCTTCTCGCGAAGCCTGGTCAAGTGTCCCTATATGGTAGTCGGGCATCATGGCTTTGGCGTTTTCGCTGTCTACGATGCTTGTCAGATGTGCCATACGCCAAATACAGTGTGGTACTTACGAATGGCGAGAAACTCTTCGGTGGCATCCTGGCCTGCTGCACCGAAGATAGAAGCCGCACCGCCGGGGTGACCCTCAAGGAACTTTGTTCCGTCGTATACCTCTCCATTGACAACAAACCATGGTTCCACCTCGCCGTCGTGCTTGCGCAGCTCATCAATCGTGATGCTCCTGCTAACGTCCTTTTTGGTCATGCAAATCTCTTTTACTGGCTCCTCCACAACAACAACTTCTTCCTCGCCAGCCGCTTTCTCGCCCCAGTTGCCATTGGACAAGTTGCCACCTGCTTTCTTGACACGCTCCATCCAACCTCCTGGCATCAAGGCGGGTTGTGTAGGATGTTCAAAGCGCAAACCGTGCGCTTCTTTGTGAATCACGACACGGAACCAAGGGTTGTTCATCATGCCTAGCACGCTCCAGTACATGTCTCGAGGCTGAACCATCATGGATTCGTCCATGGCCCGCACCATGATGTCGTCGGCGTCTTGCAGAGATGCAATGGAAACCTCCAAGTCCCAAAAGCACCAGCAGAAGCAAGTCTCCCTCCATGACATGTCTAGCCGTCCTCCGTAAAGCCGCTCTTCGTCGTCCGCTAAGCGATATTCGTCTTCAGGGTATGAAATATTTGCTAGTATCCAAGTTTTGCCCTTGTCCAGAGTAATCTCGACTCTCGTGACGCGTTTTCCTCCGCCAGCATATGCGTAGCCGCGTACGGTATAGGTTTCCTGCACGCTCGACGGTGATATTCGTTCTTCGTGTGCTGGAGAGCATGTTGCGCTGTTGGTATTCAAATCGTAAATGGCATATCTCTCGTCTTTCCATGTATCTGGCAGATTTGCGCTCTGCTCCGGGTCCACCATTGTAGGCAGAACTCTATTGTCGTAAATGTGATACCAATTGTCACTTGGCTGGTCGGTAACAATGATTCTCTTGAGCCATTTGACGCTGCGGCCGCCAATCTGCCCTGGTATGATGATGCGCAAAGGTTTTCCGTGGTCGGGGTGTAGAGCTTCGCCATTCATGCGGTGCGCCAGCATGATGCCTCGATTCGGGTCCATGCACCAGTTCAACTTGACCGAGGTACCGTAGTACCCATTGGGCAATTTGTCTGCGCCTTCAAAGCATACATATCTTGCCCTTCGGCTGGGCATTGCTTTCTTAAGTACATCGCCAATGACGGTACCCGTCCACAGGGCTGTCGACACGCCCGCTGCTCCCCAGGAAAATCCTTTTGTTTTTCTGACAACGTTCTGCTCTTTCCTTCTGTTTCCAGCACAAACGAGTGTGACTGGGTATGTGACTTGTTCATATTCGCTAATGAGCTCGGCCAGGTTGAGCTTGATTGGGTGTTCCACCATGCCCTCGACGGTGAAGTCCCAGTCCATAACCTCGGAGTCTTCGACCTTGGGCACGGCGCCATGGTTTCGTACATAGTGGAGATCATTGGAAGTGAGGAAACCATCATTGAATAGGTCGCTAAGAGGAGCTTCTACGTTGAAAGGATGGACTCCAGTCAGTCGAATCAACCGTGGATCGCGCTCGACATGGTTGTCTGGTGTTTTCAGGTCCTGTGGCAGAACTTGGTTGTCGTTACGGGAGGCCGGAGGCAGGGGATAGGCCCTTGATACCCTGGTTGTATCTTTGTCCAAATCATCTGGGTGGCTTGAAACCACGGATCCGGCATCAGAGCTTGGCGCTCTAGTATTCGAGCTGCTGTCTGGAGGTGAGGGTGGAAATTGTGCTGGAAAAGCCGAAGATGCCAGTTTGGGCGTACTCTTGGGAGACTGTATAGGGTCCATGGTTAAACAGGACCCGCAGGATATAGTTGGTAGTGGTATAAGGACGGTTGATTTTTGGAGCGCTGGCAGTGACAAGAACCCTGGGGCCTGATCAACTTTTCACTGGTAATGAAGAGCTATTGGACTTTCGCGGTAAATCAAATCAAATAACCCAAAGAAATATGTACAGAAAGCATTTGAAATTCACAACAAGAATGGCTCTGAATGGCAGTATGGTCAGTCAGGTGAGAAATTAAGGCATATGCTCGATTGAGGAATTTGGGAGGTGGATCCCATGGGACTAATAAGATTCTTCAAATGACTGCAGGCGGTCGATACTCGTGCAAGGAAGGCACACGATCGAGTGAATAAAACTGCCCAGGCGCAAAAAGTGGCCCGGACCCAACAGACTGGACCATACTCTAGGCCCAGGTCTGTGTACGAAGTAGAAGCAGTTGATGGATCTCCGGTTGCTGTGCGCAGTCTTGGTCCACGATTAGACACAATTGCCAGGGGAGACGGGCAAGAGCGAGGAAATGCATGTTTGCGAAGCAGCTGTACAATGGATCGATTATTGTATTCCGCGGATGTGTGCCAGTCACTACGGATCCATCTCTAGGCTTATCAGCACGGTTGGGTAGGGCTTTTCTTCAACAATGTCCATCACGACGGCTTGTCATTGGCGTTGATAAGAAAGTGGGTTCGATACGGGGGGGTCCTACTAGGTCCTCCGGACGGAGATGTCATTTCTGACCAGCCAGACGACTAGACTGCTTGGTGAATGCCCAAAAAGACTGCAGTCGGTGTTGGAGCAGCCAGGCAGCTTGGCAGTCATTCTCACATCACTTCCAGCGGCAGAGAGATAAGAGCAACCGTCTCGTATGGTCCTCCAACCGTCCCATGTCATGAGCTTATCGCTGAGTGGTGGTGAAGTGACGTCGGTTTAAAAGGGCTTGCAGTACGGAATACTAGTGATCGATGCATGGCGGTGGCGTGGGGCGCTGCGAGTGGATCTTCTGGTTGGTGGTATAGGTATTATAGTTGTTTTGGCATGCCAGGATATTCTGCAGAGTATATACTCTGTACTGCACTGCTCGTCTGGCGTCTGACGCGCACCTACTATAAACCGAGGTACGCGCCGTGCAGTGCAATGAAATGGTCGGTCCATTAAGATGCCGGTCTGAGATTTAGTGCTAGTGACTGAAGAAAGTTTCCAGCTCATCAAGGTGGCAATACCGCGGCAGTTGTCTGTCACTCAGTATAAGCATACATTAGGGTAGCAAGTACAGCCCCGAGACCTGAACCATTGCTTTGGAAATCTGCCACAGCACGTATTACAAATTGGAGTTGGGACTTGCACTTTCAGAGATCTGTGCCGATCCCGTATTCATCTATGTCTGAGCGCACAGTATTTTGCAACTCGTAATCTGGACAAAACCATTGACGAGCGTGGCAGAGCACAGTTCGTTCAGTTCTTGCCATGTATCACGCGTTACGTTTCGCCTCGAGGCGCCGGTTCTGTATCGCATATGTTCAGATTGTTCTTCCAGTCATGTCGCCATCACAAGAACAAAGCGGAGAATGTTGTGTAACCGTTTACAAAGTTCCTACCTAGCTTCCCGGAATAATGACACTTCGTAATGTAGGTATGCAGTTTGCTTGGCTCCAAGGCCATTATCACATTGCTGCATCAGATTCAGCGCTACGCGAGGGACTCCTTGAAAAATTAAAAATTCAACAAAATTCTC